AAATAATGGCTAAGACAGAAATCTCAATTTCAAAAAAATGCATTTTCAACATTTTTGGACAATATCACTAGACCATACCTGGATGGAAAATGTGATAATTTTAAAACTTGGAATTCAAACAGTTTATATAGGCAGATAAATTAAAAAATCATGTTTGAGTTTATACTAAAGTGAGAGGGTTATTTTTCTGGGTCAACCTGTATATGGAGGTGTACACGTGCGTTACAAATGTCCATTGGAATTCAGCAAAAGTAGAACTCTTTTGAGAAATCTTGGCTATGGCCTTAGTATAGCGGTCACATCACAAAAGAAATCGAAGTGATGGATACTAAATGCTATACCCATTCAAATGCTTGTGTTTATAAATGATAAATACATGTGTAAACTAGTGTGCTTTTCATACTAACTCATTTCAAAAAGTTTATATTATTTGATATCTGCTCCTGTGGACTAATCAGTTCCGGGCAAGATTTTTTTGTTTGAAATAAAACAAAACGAAGGCGCACAGATTTGAAAGAAAATGTGTTTTCATCAGTAGTAAGACAATAATTAGTTCTTTTCATGTTAAAATAAAAAATAACAAATTTTATGTTAAATTGATTGAACAAATTTATTTATAATTATGGGAAAAATTTTCAGTTGCTTGAAAAATATTTAAAGAGTAAATCGAAATATTGCAAAACTAATTTTTGAACAATTTCGGTAGTTGTAACGATAGATTTTGGAAAAAACGTACATTTCGGAAATATTTGAAAAATGTTGCCGTCTTACGGTAGATTTTGAAAAAATGCAAAAGTTGTGTAGATTTTTAAGGAAATTTTGAGTTTTTGTGTAGATTTTGACACAATTCAATGAATATGTAGTAAAGTATGTTTTTCTAACACACCATTCATGGAACTCTTTCATAAACAATTTGAGCACATCAGTGTTTTTATAACTACAGTAGAACCTGTGGTAGTTGATGAAAAAACACTGTGTTTTTGCATTACGATACTCCCAAGTGTGTTGACTACACACCAGCTTACAAACCAGCTTACTTCTATAATTACGCAATAACCACTGTCACAGACCTACCGACACCTATTTATTTTCGGGTTGGTTATGGAATATTACAGGGACTTCAAACTTTCAGAATTTCCAAATAATAACGGTTTTACGGTAGTTTGATCAAAAATACTGTTAACTTCAGCAGAAATACGGTAGATTTCTAAATATTAAAGTTGTATTTTACGGCCGTTCTTAATTTTGGTAATTTTTTAAGGTAGTTTGTCATTTTTTACGGAAAAAACGAAAATTTTACGGTAGGTTCACGTAAAGATACGGTAGGTTGGTAGATATAGTAAAACTTGTATATCTGAACACCTGGCTAATCCGAACAATTTGAACACTTTTTTTGGTCCCATTTTTTCTCCCATTGACTCCCATGTTTAAAAAAACTTGTAATCTGAACACCACCTAATCTGAACAGTGAACAACCAGATTTAAAAAAACGTCCTGTCTAATCTGAACATTTTTATCGGAAATCAAATGTTTCAATAACAAGTCACATATTTAGCCAATGTTATTTATCTTTACATATTCAAAGAACCAATATTGTCTAGGCTCAGTGACTATCCATTTGTGGAAAAAACAGGATGGTTGGAAAGGTGTGAATACAGGAGTTAATTGGTTTATCATATTAGAAAAGAACTGAATGTTTTATGTTTGGATTAAGAGAAAGGTGTGAATTAAGAAGATAATTGATTTATCGTTATTGGAAATTACCTGGATGTTTTCGATTTTTGGATTAGAGAAAGGTGAGAATCTAGGAGATAATTGGTTTATCCTTTTGGAAATTAAATGGATGTTTTTGATTTGGATTATGAACAGGTATAAACTGTTTTATATCCCATGGGTTTGTTATGACAGCTAAGATTCAATCATTAAATGTTTTACACTGTCCCGTTTAGACCGTTTCGTATTAGTGGTTGTATTGACATTAATACGGAATAAATCATACCATTTCATGAAATTATAATATATCCGGGGTATGAAACATAATACCTTGAATACGGGTTTCAGTAGCATTGGCATTTAGTTTCAATTTTAACTACATTCGTCATGGAGAGGGTAAGAAAGTCATGCTTGTTTGAAGGATGTACCAAAACCTTCGCAAGAAAATTATCTAAGTGCCAGCACTAGACACGGTGATAGGGAATATCGCATGAGTAATGACAACTATACTACAATTTTTATTTCACGAGGAAACAATATGAAAATGTAAGCTTCATTTTGCTGTATTAAATTCAAACGGGCAAATCGGACAGATAACCTCATTTATATAGTACTAATTGTCTTTCTAAAATGTGGCGTAAACCACATTTTTGAATGAAAATGTCGGAAAAATCAAAAGACTTTTGTTGTGGTCTTGCCGACTTTCACAAAGACAATGCAGCTAGCTGTCCATTCTTAACGGCTTCAATCATCTTCTGGTGTAATGTGAACGTGTTGGGGAAATCGGCAGGTAAGAAAACAACACGTTCACAAAGTATTAAATAATATGACACCTATCGGGACTTTCGTGGGGTATTCTTGTGCACCTCAAGAAATACCCCACCCGAGACCATCCCCTGACTATAGCAATTCTTAAATACAAAACAAACACGTGGCTTTATTAGCTTGGATCCAGGACATGATTATATAAATGGTCAACATTACAAAGGGAGTGTTTTGGACAAAAAATAGAGCTCTTGCAAGTTGCAACGATCATCAAATGGTGAGTAAATTAACCAGATACGTTTCACTCGAGCCATCATTTATAACTGCAGAAGACAGTTTCCACCTCCTCTTCCCCAATGTCAATCCCAATTTCTTCGTCTTACGAGGTCGAGACATCTTGAAAAGCGGGTTCAGGTTTTTGATGAAAGTATGATAACCGCTGCGAAAATAGGTTTGCCTGATTAGCCTACATGATTTTGTTCCTTATAAGAATTGAAATTAGACGTAAAATAACATACCTCATCTGTGTACATGCAGGTCTTTGGGCGTGGCGGTGCGGGAGAGTTAACACTTCATGGTAAATAAATGAGGGGATTAATAAGGAGCGCATGATTAATTTGGGATCATAAACTTAGTACAGCTAATTAACAGGATTAATGCATGGTGAACTGGGTCAAACTCGGTTTACAAAACACTCAGATGTTTGTTGGTGCTTTTATTATCATGTTTATTCTATCCACAAGAATTGGTGTGGTTATACTGTATGTCATACAAGATTCAAGATTTTATTGTGTTTCAAGCCAAACAGTTGGCGTCCTCAAATAAACTGTTACATAAAGGGATGAAATTATTAGTTACATACAATAATAAAAAGAATGAAAATGTTTATGTACAACCAATAGCTGGTGTTGACGGACGTCAGGCTGCTGCGTTGAAGCCATCGGTAAACTACTACCTATTAGATGCAATAAGAAAACGTACAACAACCTATATTTACTATTTATGGACGTGTTGACGCCGTCGATTAACGTGCCATTTGCATGCAATAAGATACTGTCCAATGTCCATCAATAAGCTATCAGAACAATTATCATTGCAAGTTTTATGGAAATTGTGATTTTCCCGGGAATGTATACGATTTAACACGCATTCCGTATTAACACTTGGAAACCGAATACCCATTCCTTATTAACACGTGGACTAGCATCGAGTTTTTCAAAATGTTGAAATCGTTTATTTGGAGATATTAGGAACCAAACTGACATGTTCCATTCGTTAAAGACTAAAGTATCTGTCTCTAGCAAGTGAAATCGGTTTCAACAGATTTAGATTTAAAAATAGAGCCTGACGGTAATTCCGGTTATACAGTTTCGGTACGGAATTGAGCATTTACCGGTATTAAAATTATTAACCGGTTAACCTACGATAATCCCCGGGGAAATAAAAGACACGTCGTTTCTTTAATTATTTCGTTTAATTTCCACTTTCACGATGCGTACATTTACATAGACATTTAGATGTCCATGTTTGGCAGTTCAGGTGTGATTTCCATGTTTGGCAGTTCAGATGTGATGTCCATGTTTGGCAGTTCGGATGTAGTAGCTTCATGCTCAGGCTCAGATTTGGTTGTAGTTATGCCGTTTGGCAGCTTCGGTGTAGTTTTGGGTTTTGTTAAAATCTATTTTACCTACCCCACCCCCATGTTTACTGCACGTCGCTTGCTATTGATACAGTTGAGAAATGGTTTGAAATGTGTAATACATTTAATTTAAAACTAAAAATGATCTTGATTCGTAAGATAGTTACATACTATTTCGTGAAGTTCAACAATATGGGTTCAAATCAGTCTTGCACCATGTATGCATATAGACTTGAGAAGCTACGGAGAGAGTTAGGAACAAAGTGGGGGTGGCAGTGCATTAGCATTTTATCTTACATAGTTTTACGGTATTTCGGTAACGGTTAGGTTATTAGCGTGATGTTTACCGGTACTGGTTTTCAGTACCGTTGCGACCTCTATTTAAAAAGTTATGACAACTTTTGTCATTTTTTCACGTTTTTGTAAATGTAAACAATGGAGGTTGGGGCCCTAAGGCTTTTTTATTATTCTATCGACAGAGATGTGATTGGTGTCTATAGAAAGTAGAATCAATTCCCCAGAGCATGTGCTATACAGTATTGCCGTGCGAACTTGCTGTGAAACATAATCTCAATTTCTGTAGGACAAAGTCACCATTTTTCATGAAATGGTATGATTTATTCCGTATTAATGTCAACAAAACCACTAATACGGAACGGTCTAAACGGGACTGTGTTTATAATCACAAAGACAACACAGACACACTTGCAGACGGGATCGTATCACAAGAAAGCGAAAAAATCAACTTCATAATATCCTATCACTTAAATGAATTTGAACGCTTTTGGCTGGTCCCATTGGCGTTCGGATAAGACAGGTTTTATTGTATGTATATTAAATGCTACGAAGAGTCTCATTTGATTTTGGGCTGGACAAAGGAAAGATGGCAAAAATCTTCTCTGAGAGTCATCTCAGATGTATAACAATAACATCATTTATTGTAGCATGTATGGCTAAATTCTGGATTGGAAATGTGTTTACTTTCAATGTATATTCACTGGCATTGAAACACACATTCAACTACACACAGGGTGACATTGATATGATGGCTGCCCTGCAACACTTTGGATTTCATTTTGCATTCCCAGCTGGGATAGTCCAGGATATGTTCGGACCTACGATTACATCAGGCATTGGATTAATCCTAACATCTATAGGATACGTATTGTTATGGAGTTCAACAAAGAGCATCGAGTTTTACACTTCCAAACCAGGATTGTTAAAGTTATACTTCTTCATGATTGGACTCGGAGTGTCCTTCACATACATGGCAGCTTTGACGACCACTATAAGTAACTTCACCAGCAAACACCGTGTTCCGGCTTTAGCTGTTCTGGAATCATTCTTGGGAGTAGGTGCCTTTGTATTCTCCCTCTTATATGCTGTTGTTTTTACAAATGGCCACATATATGATGTACAGAACCAAAATTGGTCAGATTTTATTATGATGCTAACAATCGGTTCAAGTATCGCAAACTGTTGCTGTGTTGTCTTTTTACGAATTGTCCCAGATGACAGTGATGGAGATGAAAAAATTGAAACCACAGATGAGAATGATCTAAATGATATCTTTGCTGAAACTACAGATGACTCGGAATCTACAGAACTTGTCCATCATGAAGATGATGAAAGGAGCAGTAAGTCCTCGATATATAAACTGATCAAAGAAAGCTGGTTGGATTTCAAAAGGACTTTTATAACTAAAAACTTCCAAATAATGCTCTGGTTATCGAGTATTATCACACCGGTTGGTTTTGTTTATTTAATAAACATCACAGCAATCTTGAAATCTGCTGGACTTCAGACATATAGTGGTATATTTACAATTCTATGCCCAATCGCAGAAACGTTAGCACGTGCTTTACTAGCTGTGATTGCTAAATTGCTAAAGGGGAAAGTAAAGAAACCTATTCTTTTTCTTATTACCAACATGGGTTTTGTTGTAGGCCAAGGATTACTGATTAGTCTAGGCACTAACTTAGCAGCATTACATACAGCAAATATTGTCATGTCCATGGCTCGTTCATGCTCGTTTGTGCTTATTGTGGCAATATTAAGTGACATGTTTAGCCAAAAGAAATTTGGCCGTATTTGGGGATTCATTTTATTTGTGTCCACTATTTTTAGTTTTTTATACCCAATGATATTCGGGCTAGTCTATGATGCACATACAAAGATTGGCGACGTAGATTGTTCTGGACTAGCCTGCACCCAACTTACATTTATATTCACTAGTGTGTTCACCTTTGCTGCTTTTATATTGAATATTGTACTTATTATAGACACACTTAGTATAACCTGATTTTCTAAGGACACCATTCAAGCAAAAACACAAACGTGTACAACATGTCACCACCAATGGGTCATCTAAAACCCCATGCCTTAGAGCATACTCAATATTTAAATTGGAATTTAAGATAAAAACATTTTTAATGATAAAAAGTTAGAAATCGAAAAAGGTCGACATAAAAAGAAAAATGGACAAAAATACAATTAGAGAACAGAATTTGCTTACAATGTAACATGAACCAAATTGAAGATAATTTGCATTTAATATTTTTACTGCCCTGCCCTGCCTATTCAAGCCAAATATCAATATTTTCCAAAACACTAGCCCAAGAAACCTCAATCAGTAATATACCCCCCCCCCCCAACCTTTTAATAAAAGAAATAATGAACAGCAAAATTAAAATACTAAAGATCTTGCCAGATTCCTCCTAGAGTGTGACAAAATAAGGACATTTAGTTTGTGGCATAGTATGGGTTTGTAGAAAAAAACAGGTACCGGGTAGTAAATCCTCCATGCTGGGTTCAAACTTGGTGCCGGTACCCAGTCGAAAAAGCCGGGTACCCAAAAAACGAAAAATACGAATATATAACATAATAAGATCATTAGAAAACGTGTAAGATTTGTTTTTAATTTACAAAAATGTATGTAACTTCCTTCAAAATTGAGCTAGAAGCTTCAAATAAAAAGCTCCTCTATCATCATGAACATATTTTCATTGGTTATAGGGGGAGGGCTGCGATCGCACCATCGCACCCCCTCCTGGCTACGCATTTGACATTGTTAGACGTCACAATTTACACTTCAGTGGACGTTTCTTCGAAAATTGGGATAATTTAAATTATGATGAATAATCAAAATCTTACACGTTGCATCATGTTAATTAACACACGTCACCTCTCTGCTAAAGTAACGATTGTAAGCTATTTACAGATTTAAATCATTATCAAAACAATTCACGTACCAACATACCTGCATACGATCTATTGAAAATAGAGTAAGATTGATTTGTCATGTTTTTCAAATCGTCTTACAATGTCATAGGCGTAGCCAGGAGGGGGTTCGATGGTGTGATCGCACCCCCACCCCCAACCCCCCTCCTACTCCATTAACCAATGAAAATATGACCATGATGATAGAGGAAGAAAAATGCCTTTAAATGCTTTTAACCCTACTATCACACCAAATTAGTTCTCACTACGTTCTCAAAAACGGGCTTCAACTGCATACGAACTGACTGGACGTACTTAGAACCGTTTGGGGTCTATTTACAAACTTCATCGAACGTTCTTGAACGGGTGGGTCCTCTAAAACTTAGAACATGCTCAAAATGCTCTCGTGGTCGTCACGTTCTACAATTAGAACGAGTGACAACTTACTAACGACGAGCTGGACGTACTACGAACGGAACTGTCGTACTTCAATCCTACAAGTGACGTTTTTACAACTAGTTGAACTGTGTCTGAGGACGTATTGAGAACAAGGTAGAACTAATTGCAAACGGGTTCAAACTGATTAAGAACGTATTAAAAACTGCTTATGAACGAGTTAGACAGGTTCCAATTTCAGAATATCTCAAGGGAAAGAGTTTTTGAGGCATTTTTTAGAAAAAGCAACAGACCTATTTTTCTGGATCAGTTTTTCATGCTGATAAAGATATTAAAAGATGACAGCTCAACGGGGTGGTCACGACACTGCATTTTAGCGTTTTCACCCCATAGGAAATTATCTTAGGGGGTACTATAATATTAGTTCATAACTCAAAGGATATATAAACTATTGTTCTGAGTTCTACAGCATACATTGTTAGTACAGAGATGAATACTATCCTTAAGTTATAGGGTGATATCTTTGTTGGTTTCGGAAAAATTCAATTAATTAGAAAAAAAATATGCAATTTTTGTCATTTTTTTCTTGCTTATTTTATATTTGTAGCTTCAAGCAAAATATGATAACTTTAACAGCTCAAAGTAGTATTCTAACAACATTCCCAAGCTATGTGTGATATTGTAATACATCTATTATAGTGATGAAGTACTATTTTGTAATTTTAATATGACTTTATAGTGCCCTACCCCTGGTAAATAGAAGAAAGTTGGTGTGGTTTTCTTCTGATTTTAACATTTTATTGACTTCTTAGTTGAAGATACAATCAATTCTGTCAGTTAACCATGAGTAGCTTTACAATGGTTACCTATTCCCATTAATAGAGGGTTGGGACCTCAAAAATACCAGAACTGTTAAGTGGCATCCCTCTTCAGAGCATTTTCCTTATACTCCGATGAAATCTGCAGGGGATACTATAAGAAACCTATATATCTAAGATACTAATGAAGATACTGAATTCAAATGAATCAGTGCTCATTTAAGGATAGTCTGAATCAGGTGAATTTTTTAACCTAATTGTACCCCTCCCCCAAAACCCCCAGATTTTGACGAAATTGTCGAAAAGTGGCAAACAACATTCATTAAAGTTAAATATGGCTATTTCGTTTCTATGTCATAAAGATATGATACGATCTCAGGTCAATCAATAAATTTAACAAGTGACACACTATCTTATGAAGAAAATACTATCGTATTTGAAGACATGTCAAAAATTTGGTGGATATAAATTGTGTCACTCCTGATTTGACCTGCAAAGGTTCAGGTAAGTTATCACAAACAATTTCAGACAGTTATATCTTTGATTATGACTATTTCCTGACCATGAAGACAGGTATACAGGGATAATAAAGTCAATCGGACTCGGAGATATTTCACTAGCAATCAACCCATCAATATATTTTTTCAAAGTTGTTGACCTCATTTTCACCAAAATTACAATCATTTTAACAATGTTTAATGCATTACTGTTCTTTATTTTAATGTATCAAATAAACGTTCAAGATCTAGGAAAAAACCGATGAAAATCTCCCCTAAAAAGGACCCATTCGAAAATGGCATTCTCCATTTAAGGGCAAAAAGGCGGAGTTATAAGCGGACTGACACTTTCCTTGAATGGAGAAGTCTCGATGGATCTCGCTTAAACTCCGCCCCTTATTTGTGAAAAATCACGTGAATTCCGGCTTTTGCTGGGTCATATCCAGGCATCTCGGCTTCGAACCCAATCAGAAGTTTCAATTTTGACTGGCGCCGCATACATTATCTCAAGTCTCGCCCAATATTTTTATGTATACGTTAAATAGCTCTTGAAAAGAAAACTTAATTCCCCTAAGATTAGTGTTCCCCATGTTATTTCCCCTTTGAAAAAATTCATGCTATCCATTGGTTTCAGTTCATTTTGCTCCCTGGAGCAATCCACTTTTCCTCTTAGGAAATAGAAAATGTCTCAAAGCATATTCTAATTTTGCATTCAACAATATGATTAAAGGTTGCATCTTTGGTAAATCTAGGTCATCATTTTTAGTAAAAAGTATGTTGATTGGGCCATTCCCTTTATTATCACTTAGGTCTGATTAATCATGATTATATTTACTTTTCTTGAAGATAATGAATAGATCTAAAAGATATACCCATGTTCATGGTCAGAAAATATTCATAATTCAAGTTAGAATTGACCTTTTTCCATATAAATGAAAAACAGATGGCATCATGGGTATTGGTAGAGCTTGGGCAGGGCTAGAATACATGTAAATGTATTGCCAGAGTCACTTAATTTCTTGATTTGAGAAATAATTCCATTTGGATCATCTTAAAACATCATTGGAATGTAACTATATGATCTTATTGACATGTGGATTGTGATTTCACATTAAAATTGTGATCCTTGTAAGAGTTAATGTAAGAGTTAATTTTAAAGATTTTCAGCATTGTGTCAATGGGGATTTACAGGTAGCTCGACCTTTTTTAGACAACCAGAAAAATAATGGTAAATAACAGTGCAAATCAAAGTTGTTTTGATAGAGAATTGAAAGTTAAACGAGACTTATTTATAAGTTGAAGTTTGACTGGAATTCTACCGAGTTACACTGCATCAAGAGATTACGTGAGATGGTATTGCGCATGTGCGGACATCTAGATCTTCAGTACTTTAACAACCAAAGTGGTCAGATGATCAACTCAAAACTTAATGATTATTTTAAATATAATAATCTAAGTTAATAAATGTAGAGGTTAACCTGACATAAAACTTAAGTGGTTATCAAAGTCTGAACCCAAACTTGATCCAGAAACTAAGTTTTCTGAGGGGTGGGGTTTCAAAGCTAGGGCGGGCACGTAATCTCTTGATGCAGTGTAACTCGGTAGAATTCCAGTCAAACTTCAACTTATAAATAAGTCTCGTTTAACTTTCAATTCTACCTCGTTACAGCATCAAGTATCACGTGAGATTTTAAAGCCATCTGGACACTTTGGTCAAATTTTGTGGAATAACCCCTGTAAATTATATTTACAAAATCAGACACAAAATTCAGATGTAATGCAATTATAACAATAGAGTATTTATTAATACAAATCAAAATGATGATTTATTCATCATGAGCCCAACAAAACGTATATTTCCTGATATTTATCAGATACACAAATATACGTATTAACTGTTTAAAACAGCAACCTGGAATTTATCATCTAAACCACCACTACATATTGGTTTCTCATAAAACTTTCTGAATGTACAATCGGATTTCCATCCTGCAATTTTAAGAATGCAATCAATATTTGCTCCGCCTTTTTTGGCTGCTGAACTAGATGCCGACCTAGTTGAGTGAGCTTTGAATATGTCAGTATTGATACCTGCATTTTTCAGAATAGTTTTAATCCAACGACTAAGCGTGTCCTTTGATATAGAATTATGAGGTTTTATATAACTCACAAGAAGTTGTGTGACACTACCCCTTAGTGGTTCAGTTCTGGTAATATACTCTGAGAGTGTTGAGAAAACAAAGTCGTCGATCACTATATTTATGTAGTTCAATATTCAAAGGTTTATATCCTGGTTTTGATTGTTTCAGATGTTCTGACAAGAGAAACACGTATCGGTCCTCTTCACATATCATGTCTTTAATATTTAACATATGTATCGTTTGACAACGCTGTGCTGTGACCAAGGCTATCAAAGCAACCAGTTTCAATGTAAGTGTTTGTAACTTAAGTTCATTAACTGGAGAGAGCGTTTTTAGATATTCCAAAACTACAGAAACGTCCCATGTTGCAATATATCTAGGCACTGGGGGTTTTTCGTTGAAAATGCCCTTCATGAAACGAATTACGATGGGATGATTGCCAAAAGTCACATTCCCGTCGAATGTGATGCATGACGATAGTGCGCATCTGGCTGTATTAATCGTGCTATAGCTCACCTTTTGATTATACAGTTCGGTGAGAAAGTCCAATCCTATTTGTAAAGTTGGACGAAGGGGATTACTTTCCCGAGCACTGTTGAACTGAATCCACTTTCTGAGGTAAACCGCGTACTGTTTTTGAGAAAGTGGTCTCCACGAATTGATGACGATCTCAGCAGCGTGTCCCGATACGCCTTGGTTTTTGAGATGTTCCCTGATAAGTTGCAAGCCACTAGAGTCAATTTCCGTCGAAGGGGATGCTGATCGTCCTTGTATGGAAGATATAGTAGGTAGGACGACAGGGTTTTTCACCAGCAAACGTAACATTTTTGCCCACCAAGGTTGTGTCGACCAAAGGGGAACGATAACGATCGCTTCTGCTTGGTCGTTCGCTATCTTTTGCATAACTCTCATCAGCAAACTGAAAGGAGGAAATGCATATATTAGCAAATTGTGCCAATTTTTTGAAAAGGCGTCAATAAATTGAGCATTCGGGTCTGGCTTCCAAGAAACGTATTTCTTCAATTGATTGTTCAACCTGGAAGCAAATAAATCTATATTGGGTTTCAGCCAACCATCTAACTGGACAATGTCATGAAACACATATTTTTGAATCATCCATTCTGTATCGTCATGAAATATGCGGGATTCGGAATCAGCCTCAATGTTATCAACACCAGCTATATGACTACATGATAGCCAAATATTTTGCAAAATACACCATTGCCAGATTTCTTTAGCAAGCTGATTGCAAGAAGCTGATTTCGTACCCCCCATTTTATTGATGTATGTGAGAGCAGTGGTATTATCAGTTTCGACCCTGACGTGGAGACCATCAGATGCTCGGCATAAAGAACTCAAACCTAAATAGATAGACAAAAGTTCTAAATAATTGATGTGATTTTCAGACTCTTCGTTTGTCCATCGTCCACCAGTTTTAACATTATGGGTTACGTCAAAGGCACCCCAGCCCATCATGCTGGCATCCGTCCTTATCAGGTGGCGAGGTTCTGCAATAGATAAACATTTGAATGCAGATTTCACATTATCCATCCACCATTTTATTTCACTAATAGCTTCACGAGAAAGAACAATGTAAGCATCAAAATTACCACAATTCCGTGCCAACGCTGTTATTTTCTCATGCTCTAGGATACGATAATGCAATGGGCCATATGTCACCCCGGGAAAAGATGCGACCAGTTTTCCAATTAATTGAGCCAATTCTCTTATTGAACACTCAACTTTGCGTTGACTTATAAGCTTTCTACACAAGGAAACTATAGAAATAGCTTTTTCAGTCGTAAGGCTAATTTTCATGTTGATCGAATCTAATTGAAAACCTAAGAATGTAACTACCTGTTTAGGTTCCAGGTCGCACTTCTCTGGGTGAAGTATGAAGCCCAAACTCTGAAGCTTTTGCATGGTGGCAAGAATGTTTCGTTTGCATTCGTCATATGTTTCTGCAAAGAGACAAGAATCGTCAATGTAAGCCACCGACAGATGGCCTTCGTTGCGTAGAATGGAATATACAGGTTTCAAGATTTTCGTGAAAATTCGAGGGGCTGATGAAAGGCCCTGTGGAAGACATGTATATTGGTATATTTTACCCTTCCATTCAAATTGAAGAAACCTTTGTGAATCTGTTGAAATTGGAATGCTGTAATAGGCGTCCTTTACGTCGACGGTGGACATGAAACAATTCCTACTTACAAGACTGATGGCATTTTGAAGATTTTCCATTTTGAAATGGTGATACTCAACATGCTCATTCAGATTTTTAAGATTTAATATGGTTCTTTTTGACCCATCTTTCTTAGGGGTCAGAAAAATTGATGACAAATAACCGATATTCGATCTATCAACTATTTCGATTATGCCTTTCATTAGGAATTTTTCAATTTCCTCATCAACCGCCAAACATTCTGATTCTGAAAATTTTAATGCGCGTTGATGCTCACTGTAAGGTACATCATCTATGAATTCAATATCATAGCCTCTAATAGTTTTAAGAATAGATTCATCTGACGTTATTGAACACCATGCCTGATAGAATTGTTTCAATCGACCGCCTTTAAACATTTTAACCATATTTCTCAGAGAGTTTCTTACCTCTGTAATATCACCTTCCATGGCTGGGGACGATTGTATGGAGGCTATTGGGATTGGGTTTTCTTGTCTGGGTTGGATCTTGATCTCTTCCCCTTTCCCTGGCTTTCTTTCCATTTGGATTGGTTGCCCCGCTGGCGCTGGCCTAAAAAAGAAGCTCGACCTCGACCACGTCCGCGCCCCTTGCCGCGTCCTCTAAATCCACTCCTGTTATCATTAGAGGGGAAAACTCCCTTAAGTTGAGTTTTGTTCATCTCGGCAATATCACGAACTTGTTTCGTGATGTCGTCGCCAAACAGGTAAGTAGTAATAGGGACTGACTTCGCGCAGAGATGCTTAAAGTTTTGACTGATTTCAGGTTTGATAATTCCCTGCGTCGAAGGTTAAACTTGTAGTTAGCACTGCAAGAAAGTTCAATGCTATCGTACATGAGTTCAGCAATTTTGCCCAAAGTATCATCATAATCATCAGAGACGGAGGCCAAATTCTGCTTTAACTCGTCGATCATTTCTAATGCACGCATTGAAGCGATCGTAGCTTTAATAAGTGGAGCCTGTGTTTTCTGTAAGCGGATGTCACTCGACCGGACATCAGCAGATACACGTGACCAAATTTGCTCATTGACCTTGGTCGTGCTGACATTGGGGGTATTAGAAGGCGTTTTATATTTGTCAAATTTTAATTTTTCATCATCATCGTTCATATTTGACTGTATGAGATCATTTAATAGAGCAGCCGCTCCATCACTCAATGGTGGGCCCATTTCTTCATGGGTTTTCACCTTCGCTTGGAGGCTTTGCATCAGTGATGAGGCTTTCCTAGCTGGTTCATCCGTTTGCTCCTCCTGATCAGAAACCTTAGGTTTCTTTCTAGGTGGTGGTTCACAACCATCGGTATCATCATTGAATTGATCCTCGTCAATTTCATCCTCCTCATCATTATATCCAAAGTCATCTTCATCCTCAGCATATTGAGAATGCTGTATGCACTTTTGCAGGTCTTTAATGGACGAAGTCATTACACCCGACAAGGTGCTTTGAATTGCACCCAGTCCACTGGATATTGAGGTTGTTATAGCCTGAGTCAAACTCTGGAGGCTATTGTCGGAAAAGTCTTGTTTTGAAGACAATTTTCGGGATTTCTTTGATCCTATATCACCAGATTTAGACCTATCCTTGGTCTTAGAACCAGTTTCACAAGCATTTGAGCTAGTAGACGGACCTTTATCAGTATCCATTGGTTCATCCAAAAGTGCATCGTCACTTGGTGATAATGCTCCCTCTGGTTTGTACAACATTTGTTGAGACGCCATCGTATAATATTCCTAATTGTAGTGAATCAAAATTACACGTTGCTACAGTATGTCGCACTTCAAGCGTGGTGAATTTATTCTATTCGCCACCGATATTCAAATTCAATACCTGGCTTACCGGGTTTGAATGTGAGTGCACACTACAGTAGCGTTTGAGGGCGTTCAAGCATAAACTATTACAAATAGTCACCTTCAAATGAATTTCACGATTCAAATGAATGTAGCAATCCTATCCTATTAGGAACGATTACTGAACAAATACCAAACTTATTTGGTGTTCGTTTTGTTTGATTCAAATCAACTTGTTGATTCAAAATGTAGCAATAATATCCTACTGAGGAAATATTGCCGTCTGACGAAAACCAAACTTATTTGGCGTTCGAGTTGGGAAGTGCAAATCAACTTATTGACTGTATTTCCCTCTAGAATCTGTGCATAAAATCACAGAAGCAGAACTGGAGTAAGTGTATGTTTAGACAACTTGCATCAAGTTGTTGATGCAATATGTATGTGACAAGTTTGATTGATCACACACGAGGAAAATAAAACATTGTACATACGCTTACTCAGAGCTACGTCCGCTCATAGTCATGTCCTGCAATACACTGAAGATCTAGATGTCCGCACATGCGCAATACCATCTCACGTGATACTTGATGCTGTAACGAGGTAGAATCATCATCATCAGATACTCAATTCTGTCAGATTTGACAATTTTATTGAGGGTGGCAAGATAAAAAGATTTGTGTATGTACAATTTAAAAGCAGGTTAAAAACAGTTTAAAAACAGAGTGGAATCTTAGTTGGTCCTCTTCCTCAGGGCATCACGGTAGGCCTCGATGGTGGGTAGGCTTGTGACATCTCTGAGAAGGGCGTTCCAGTCCACAATTGTGCGGGGGAAGAAGGAGTACTTCAAGGAGTCTTTTCTGCAACTGCATAGCTGGTATGAATCTTGGTGGGCAGACCTGGTCAATCTAGTGGGTGGAGTAAGGTAGGTGGTGTGGCGAATGGCTACTAGGGCGTTGATGATCTTGTATAACATCACTAGTCGTTGGTGATGCCTTCTATCCTGGAGTGACTGCCATTGTAGCTGGTGAAGTATGGCATTCATAGATCCAGGGTCACGACTGTAGTTGCCAGTGACATATCGAGCAGCACGATGCTGGACCATCTCAAGGGAGTGTATCTGTGTCTGTGTGTGAGGGTCCCATACGCAAGCACCATATTCCAATTTAGGCCTGACTATGGTGTAGTATGCCAAGGTCTTGATTCTTGTGAATGCTTTCCAGAGATGACGTTGGAGCATCCCGAGTAATTGGTGTGCCTTCTTCACTGAGCTCTGGACATGGATGTTCCACTTCAGGTCTTCTTGAATGGTAACACCCAGGTACTTGGCAGATGGAACATGCTCAAGTGGGTGATGGTGCATTTGGTAGGGAAATCGTATGGGGTCTCGCCTCTGGGTGACGCTCAGGACATTACACTTGTCTGGATGGAATTTCATGAGCCAATCCTCTTCCCACCTCAGAGCAGCATCAAGGTCTTGTTGCAGGAGCTGGTAGTCTTCAGGTTTGCTGATTTCTCTGTAGATGATGGAATCGTCAGCGAAGAGGCGCAACTTGCTGTGCTGAATTACTCACAGAATTCAAATATGCCATCAGATGGAAGAAAACGTTAGTTTTTAATGGTTAAAAATGCAGATCTCCTAAAATCTCATTAAAAAGGACCATTGTCTGAAGTTGTTTGCGATAACCTACATGCTCCTTTATAACATTATTATGTAAATACTATCAAATGCTTTAGTCATGACAGTTGAAGTAAACTGAAGTCTTGGTATTTAAATGCAGAATCAGATCTATGTAGAGTAAACAAAATTGAAAGCAACATGTACAGTTGACCTACCAATGTATTTCTTACAATCTCAAATATAATGTCTCCCAAAAGATCCACAATATATTATTAATTGGTAATGTTGTTTAAAATTCAAAGTGTAAAAAGAGAAAAATGTTCAAATTCTCCCAAATAATAATAAATAAGTTACACTAAGTTATAAAAGTGTGAGGCACCATCGCTGGGAAAGTCATCTTTGGTTAATAAAAAAGATTCTTAGCTACATCTGGATGTGATGCATCATGGCTTATGAGGACTCTGCTATATGGTCAGATGATGAGAACTAAGAGTTTTAAGGAACTTTTGCCATGTTTTGCACATTGTAAATGACCCTTCTGAATGGGTTGTAAAGGTATATACCAGGAGGTATATATGGCTCAAATGACTCGTGCCCTAGTACATGGGGCATTGTAGTACATTACTTGTGCATGATGACCACCATAGTCTAGTTGCTCAAATGAGATCAATTGATGATTATAATGTTTAGACTTTATGTCAATGTCCACTCTAGTATGTGATTACACTAGATTTCATTATGATACGTGTGCTAAATTGAAAATTACATATAAAATATCTTAAGTCCTATATTCTAGTAATAAATGAATTAGAATGTCACCTAACATTTGATGATGGTTTGAATTCATTGATTTGGTGTCTATCAATACATGTTTCTAACTAAATGCTGCAAAATGATACAATTCACCACATCCACTTTCTTCAATTTTCCAGGGGTAGGGCACTATAAAGTCATATTAAAATTACAAAATAGTACTTCATAACTAAAATAGATGTATTACAATACCGCACATAGCTTGGAAATGTTTTTAGAATACTACTATGAGCTGTTAAAGCTCTCATATTTTGCTTGAAGCTACAAATATAAAATTGGCAAGACAAAAATTGCGTATCTTTTTCCCGTTTATTGTATTTTTTCTGAGACCAATAAGGGTATCAACCTATAACTTTAGGATAGTATTCATATTTGTACTAGCAATGTATGGTGTACAACTCAGAACAATAGCTCATATATCCTTTGAGTTATGAACTAGTTTCATAGTACCCCCAAGAATATTTTCCTAGGGGGGTAAAAATGCCAAAATTCAGTGTCGTGACCACCCCGTTGAGCTGTCATCTTTTAATATCTTTATCAGCATGAAAAACTGATCGAGTAAAAATAGGTCTGTTGCTTTTTCTAAAAAATGCCTCAAAAACTTGAATTATTAGAATTGGAACCTGTCTAAGTTAGCAAAAATATAGCTATCACACCAAACAAGTTGCCACTGCGTTCTTCAAAACTGGTTTTAAACTGTTTGCGAACGGAATAAATGTAGCTGCAACTTTCTCAGGACTATTTACGAACTTCATGAACGTTCTCAGACGGGAAGGTGATTTTAGAATTTTCAAATGATTCAAAATTCGATGGCGACCATACCGTTCTGTAATCAGGTCACGATGACCTTCTAGACTAAGGGACGCGTTATACGACGTTGCACACCGACGTGGTGCGACCTGGACGAACTGCGAATGAGATGGACTTATTGAAGACTGTTTTATGAACGAAGTAGCTAATCATTTTAGACATGTTTCCCGACCACAGCCAGATTGAGCCCGTTTTACGACGTTTTTGTAGGACTGGTAAGAACGGGTAAGAACTTGTTTGGTGTGATAGGGGGGTTATTTGAAGCTCAAGTTCTAGCTTCTTTTGAATCGGCCATTTTGGATTTTTCCGTCCTAAAATCTTGTCTGTAAAGTCTTGTCTACGCGTTTTCAGCTGAACCGTTTGGTAAATCAATTTCAAATTTTCAGGAATGATTCTTAGTATGAAAATATAGATCTGATTAGTTTTTTGGCGTTCTGGGTAAATGTTAAGGCAGCCATTTTGGATTTTCCGTCCTTAAATCTTACCTGTAAAGTCTTGTCTACGCATTTCCAGGTGAACCGTTCGGTAGATCAATTTCAAATTTTCAGGGATGATTCTTAGTATGAAAATCTAGATCTGATTAGTTTTTTGGCATTCTTGATAAATGTCAAGGTAGCCATTTTGGATTTTCCGTCTTAAAATCTTGCCTGTAAAGTCTTGTCTACGCGTTTTTGGGTGAACCGTTTGGTAGATCAATTTCGAATTTTCAGGGATGATTCTTAGTATGAAAATCTAAATTTGATTAGTTTTTTGGCATTCTGGGTAAATGTCAAGGCAGCCATTTTGGATTTTCCGTCCTAAACTCTTGTCTGTAAAGTCTTGTCTATGCGTTTTCAGGTGAACCGTCTGGTAGATCAATTTCAAATTTTCAGGGATGATTCTTAGAAAATCTAGAACTGATTAGTTTTTTGACATTCTTGGTAAATGTCAAGGCAGCCATTGTGGATTTTCCATCCTAAAATCTTGTCTGTTAAGTCTTTTTTACATGTTTTCTGGTTAACTGTTTGACGGATCGATTTCAAATTTCCAGGGGTGTTTCTTAGTATGAAAATCTAGTTACTAACTAATTTTGGGGGATTCTGGTTAAGTTTTAAGGCAGCGGTTTTGGATTTTCTAGGTCTTGTCTACTCATTTTCAGGATAACCATTTGACGGGATCAACCATTGGTGGGGAGATTTTGTACACATTTGTGTTCTTGTTTATAATTACAATAAAATAAATTGTAGTAGTGATATGTGTGTGAAACATTGTCTGTCAATTCAGAAATATACAAAGTTCATTTGATCAAAATTTCAACTCAAATGGTTGAGAAATCTTGAAATGGCAGACTAATTCCCAGAACTTAATGATCACATTGTATACCTCTTAGTTCCTCTCGTCCATAGCCTTTGTCGGTACTTTCGTACATACAGTATGTTATGAGTATTGACTATCAATTTTTCAATTTTTTCTTCTACATGTATTTTAATGACTTCAGTATGAAGTGTCCCTTGGAAGTGTCCCTTGGTGTTCTGGTCCTGGATTGTGATATTGGTTCTCGATTGGAGGGGGGATGTTAGACATTGTTTCTTTTCACGTTAGATCATTGTTTTGGGATATATAGGGTCTACTTTTCTTATTACAGATTTACACTTACAGTTTGCTTTTCTTGTTGGGTTTCCTTGAAGTTTTTAGTCACCCTTCCCTTTTGGCATTTGTGCTTATATATACGTTCTTCCTCCGATCGAC